GAGCTCGATCAAATTTTTAAAGCAGATTTGGGTTAATGTCAGGGTTTCAAATAGCATCCTCAATCAAATAAGAATTTGAGGCTAGAGATTCCTCAAAGTTAAATTTATTAAAGAAGCCATTTTGGCACATCTGGGAAAACCCGACTCTGATAGCTTCCAGGTTTTTCCACCCAGTTGAAAGTTCAATACCCTGCCGCAGCATCCACATGTCCATCACATGGCCCAATCAACCACTGTCACAAAGGAAGATTCCTCCCATGTCAGTCCAGGTGCAGAGACAAGACAACCTTGACTTTCTGAAAAGGAATGTTATTTTGGCTACGTATCTCCCTTGCTCCATACAATCCCCACTCACAGTTTCCCACAGTAGAATATGTTTGAATACATGGCAGGCTTGAGGCCCAATATAAAGATGGCTTCCAAGCTTGACAATAACATAAAAAGGGCTTCCCACCATATTGACAACCAGATCATCTTCAGGAGATGGGCATCCAATATGGGAAAGGGGAGTTTTTTTTAAAAAACTTCAAGATGGCAGTCAGACAACCAAAAGTTTCTGTATATGCTACACACAAGTGGAGTGAGGTTTTGATTATACAGACATTTTTTTGACTTTTTAAGGTCCCTCTCGTGATCTACAAAGAGATTCATGTTAATCATAATTGCTGGTAAGTTGGTTTGGAGGTGTCCCCCATCATCTTTTTGATTTTCCCTTTTGAATGGTATGTAGATGTTATTTATCTCCATGTGCCCATTGATGGCTGATTTATATGAATACCTGGCTTCTAGGAATTCTGTAGAATTTTTGCACTTAACTTGGTTTAGGATACTTACAGTTTCCCGGTTGAAATTATGGTGAAGTCTGTCCATATGTTGTGCCATACAACATATGTATGAGTGTAACAGCCACTATGTAGGACAGGCAGGCATAAGACTAGGAGAGCACTTCCATGAATACGAACGAGCAATCAGAGGTCATGATGAAAACTCCTTAATTGCACAACAATGTCAAGTCTTTCCACTTTTGTTCACATAATAATCTCACTGCAGCTGTCATATATAAAACCAAATCCTAAGTCAAGGGCTATCTGAAGAATCGTAAAGTTTTTCATCTTTCAGATGCAGGGTTTATTTTTTTCCTGAGCTGAGCTATTAGGGATTTTGGAAATTCTACATATAGACCTTGACTTAGGACAGCAATTGAGCCTGTAGTTATAAGTCATTGTGGTAATTAAGCAGATCCCCAAGAGACGATATAACAGACAATTTTGTGTACTGTGCTTAGATCATACCGCAGGTGGTGCAGTTCCAGATTGTCCAAACCCAAAATTTTGAGCATGGTGGCATAGGGAATTCTATTGTGAATAGAGGAGTGGAGTATCTTCTCGTGAAGTACCTCTGGACCTGCTCAATTGATATACAGTATGGATTCCAGGCAGATGAGCTATATTCAAGAATTGGTCTGGCAAAATGTTTGTATGCCCTAGTTAGCAATACAATGTTATCATAAGTGGGAGGGTGCATTGGAACCTCAAAGTTGGATTGTAAGTATCTTTCGGAGGGATCATCGTTAACTTCAATATGATTGTTAAATCAGGATTACCTGTAGTTGAATATATTTATTGGATCTTTTAAAACTTGACTGAAAAGAGACAGCTTGCTTTTTTTAATTGTATCATTCGAATGCTTTACAACTGAGCAGCAAAATAAAGTTATTTTGAATAGATAAAGTGCCCTCCAATGTTAAGATTTTGAGGAAGGTGCCCTGATTCCTAATGTTATTTTTTTTCTTCTGCTTTCCTCTAAGTCATAGTCTTCCAGCTTTCCTCTAAGTCATAGTGTTCGTAAGTCAAAATACAATTATTACATTTTACTTTTCAAAATCTAAAGAAAGGCTAATGATGCCCTCAGAAAGGCATGGCATTTACATAGCAGTAGAAATACCAACACTGTTTTCATGCCTAGCAATCATCATCTTTAATTAAAAGGCTTTACCTAAAAATAAATATGTGCTATTTAAGCAATTACTTGAACTCAAACAAGCCCACCATGTTCTTGACCAGTTTTGCTACTGACAGGCAAGTAAGAAATGCAGTTAGTGTTATTGCTTCCTTCAGAAATTTATCGTAGCTGCTGGACAGCAGGAAATAAAACTTCCAGTGCTTCTTATTTCAGGAATTAGTCTGAGGGATGTTATTTGCTACCTGAAGAATGGATATGATTGGATTTTGTCCTCTATTCTCCTTGCATATGAAAAAGTAAAATCCATTGGCTTTTCAGAGTTGTTGTTTTCACCAAACAACAACTAACTCTCCTGCTAAAGGGGATTCACAATCAATTTAAAAAAAAAATGAAGCTGAGAGCAGGGAGCACCACTCAAAATAGTAGAATTTGAAGTTATCCAATAAAACTGGCAGGTCATACAGTCTATTAAAGGTAACTAGACAAATCCATGAGGTTAGACCTCTAAATTATTAGACATGAGAAATGTTTGATATAGTGAGTTAATAAACAAAATTCATGCAACTAAATTGCACTTATGTTTGTGTGTGTGCCTTTGAGTCAGTTTTTGGCTCCAGTTTGTGACTCCTAAGAACTGCCTGGACTAGTCACTGCAGTTTCCTTGGTAAATTTACAAAGATGGTAGCCATTGCCACATGATCAAAGCCATGTCTCTTTTTATATTTGTCATTTTTTGACACTTGCACCTACCTACAGAGACTGTGGGTGCTGTTAGAAGTGATCTATTTGTTAGAAAACCAATTACAAAATCCTATGTATCACTGTGGGGCTATCCAAATATTCAGTTATAACTCAGCAGTCCCAACTAGCTCAGTCAATGGCCTGGTCTGCTAGGAGTTGTACTTGGGATAGCTATAACTTCTTTCACTTTTGCAAAGTATCTCTACAGATGTAAATCCTAATGAACGGTCTTGTCTCCTTGGTATAAGATTGATCCCACATAATGTACAAATAAGAATAATTTTGACAAAATGAATAAATTATTCTTTTAATATAAAGTTACAGGGACTACATTTAGGAAACGGGGAACAGTTTGTATAGTATTTAGGAAACATGAAATATAATTCTATACATATTTATCTGGTATAATACCCACTGAATAAGACTTCTTAGTAATATTTCAACATTACACCTTCGGCATAGTAAGGCTACTATGGAGTATAAGAAATTATTTTGGTCTTATATTTACCATTTTTCATATTTACCATTTCATATGACTGATATATCAATCAGTATTTCTCTTTCTGGAATCCAGGTCAATCCAATTATATTTCTCCTCAAAGAAGACACTGTTATAGAAAAGAATGTCAGCATTGATAGAAAATAGACTAAACAATGTTATTGTTAAATTTATTTTATTTATTTATATTAGATAACAGATATACAGTATGTATAAACATGATTATGAATACATAAAATGGATACAAATACAAGGGAATATTAGGACAGGGATGGTAGGCACTCTGGTGTGCTTATGCATGCTCCTTAAAGATCTTGTGGAATGGGGTGGGTGTCATGTTCTGAGCATGCGTTGAAATAAAGAGTTTAAGCGGGAAGCGCTCGACATCTGATTGGCTGATCGTTTGACAGCTCCTGTATAAATAGGGAGCTGTCCAAATGAGCAGCGCGCGTTCCTGTCTAAAGCCGGTTCTGAAAGTTAGCTTGTACTCGTTAGGGAATAAAAGTTGTTAGCCCTTTATTCCCGTCTCCGCCTCAGTTCTTCTGGCTGCCCACAGGTCCTGGGTACATACCACTGGCGACGAAGGTGGGATCGCCAAACTGAGGTGCGAGAAGCTGAAGTCACTCACTGCTGAAGTCCCTCGCTGAGTCACTAGAACCGTGCTTATTTTGTCGCGACGAGACGTCGTTGTGCCTGACAGGAATGGCCACGTTAAATTTCGCGCCATTCAACTATGGCAATGAGACGTGGGAGTCCTACATGGCTCGGTTTGAATGTTTTTTGGTTGCACACGACCTTACCGAGTTAACGGACGAGCGAAAATGTGCCTTCTTTTTGTCCGTCTGCGGCACGGACGTTTTCCATACTGCCAGGGCTCTCACAGCCCCTGAACCCATCAAGGCCGTGCCATGGCCTGTACTTATGACGAAGCTGACGAGCAATTACACCCCATCGCCATCAAAAATAGCCCGCCGGCACGCTTTCCATCAGCGCAGCCAAGCCTAGGGGGAGTCAATCAGCGCCTACGTTACTGCACTGCGATCGGCCTCCCTCCACTGTGAGTTCCGAGATCTCGATGAAGCTCTCCTCGACCGCCTGGTGTGTGCCCTCAGAGACCTCAAGCTGCAGAAGCGACTGCTAACCAAAGCAGATCTCTCGTTTTAAACTGCTTTTGACAAGGTGCGGGCATCCGAAATAGCTGAGGCATCCCTAGCTACCATCGCGAAGGCCCGGTCTACCACAACAGCGCAGTCTGCCAAT